GGCTCCAACAACTGCGTAGCTGGAAAAGCGTAGTGTTAATTTGGCGTTGGAGAAAGCAGGAGAGGATATCATTCGTCTGGTTATATTGAAGTCCTGTAAGCGGGCAACATGTGTCGACGGAGAGGATTTCTTTATTGCGAGCAAATGCTGCCTGTGACCATTTCTCTCTAAGCATCCGGACATTGAATGTGGTCAAATAGCATTAGGAACAGGTAGTTGGAAATTTACGGTCTTCACGATTGCACGGCATAAAGACGGTCTAGAGTTCATCATCAACACGGTTAACACTATCTGTCAAGGCGGAACATTGCGAGGGCCAGATGTCAAACGCGGGTTTTCATGAATGAGTGAATTCCATAAATGTGGAACAAAACATGTGGCAGGGTGCGCGATGGAGCATGGTATAACGGAGCCGTCCGCCAGCACCGCGGCCGAGGACAGAAAAGGCGAAGCTTGTAAGTAAATAGCAGTATCAGTAAATTCATATTCAGCTGTTGCGTTGGAAGAGTTTCTTGGTTACGCTAATAAACGAGTTTGTTACTCAATTTTAGTTACCAAGTAACGATGAATAGGGGGAAATTTTCGCCATTGGAAAAATCCTGTTTCTCTTCAATGCATGTGTAGGTAGAATTGATTAGCAGTAAAGTCCTCATTAGCCCGGACACAACATATTTTTCAAACGTTAATTCAAGAAATCACCCAAAGCAGTTCACTACATCCTCTTAAATCCGCTATCATCTATCTATTAAGTTGGGTGCGAAATGTGGCTTCCGGAACCTGTGTACAAACCATGGTTCAAACGAAAATCAGTGCAGAGCGCGGAGAGTGATTGAAAGAACAACGGATGTCTTAAGGTTGCAAACTCCGATAGGGATTATGCGGAAAGTAACCAGAAAACTAATCCCTTCATCGCAAATATGTGACGCACTTTAACCGCTCATTGATTTTCTCTGGACAAATGCCTCATCAACAAACTCGGAGGCGCGCGAATGTGTCAACTTGAAACACACTGCCTCTGCCTCTAACCTGGTGAAATCAATGCGAAGGGAATGGGAAAGTGCGCATAAGCGGGGAAAGAAGACTGTGTTGAACCTGAACCCAGATAACGCTGATTCGCTCTGGCTAGCTCGACAGATGCTCGAAACTGCACTTACCACTCGATGATGCACGTAATGCTTTGCAATGTCCACGGCACGCTTTCACCCAATGTGATTTCTCTCAAACGAATGAATGCAAAGTGCATAAATCGCAGACGCGGTTAAACGGCGGAAGTAGATTGTTTCTCCATGGACAAATGCCTCATCAACAAACTCGGAGGCGCGCGAATGTGTCAGCCTCTTGCTTGTCCTCGTGCTTGAATAAATACTACAACTGTGCCGACTATCGTGCAACGACTTATTTGTTCTGCAGCTAATTGCGGCAAAGCCCTTAAAATTGGTATAAAGTGCCGAAACTACAGTGGCTCCTTCCACCCTAACTGTGTAGGAAATTCCGCCCAAGAAGCAAGGCAAATAATCAAGGCAGCTGACGCATTTTTTTTGTCCAACTTGCCAGTTAACTCCAGTGGTCGTTTGTTTATGTGCACTCATGGAAAGATGCGATACTTTGAATGCAACAATCGCTTATTTGTTGAACGCCAGGCTTGCGCCACCGGCCGCGAATATGGCCATGATTGTACCACAGTCGGTCAAAGAAAGCTCCTCCTCGAGGCCGAAAAAAAGGGCTAAACGCTCAAGCCGCGCTGCAGCCTCAGTTTCTCCAAACCCTTTGCCTAATTCAACTCCCAAAAGCGGACGAACATCCAGAGTACTGGTGTCCACACCTTTGAGTCACACGCCCCACCTCTATTCAACAGCAACCGCGGTAGCTCCGGGGCAAACCTCTTCCGCCGTAGAGAAAAGTCGGGCGTCGTACGCCTCAGTCGCCTCAATGCATACACCGGCTAAATTACCTCCGACTCCGGTGACCTCACCAAGCAACAGTAAGTTGACCAGACTCCAACAACCAAAAAATCCGTTTAACACCGTGTCTTTAAGTCATGGCAAATCTGCATCCAACGCAAGGAGCCAAGGCTCGTTAACCGTTGTGTGTACAAATGTTCCTGAATCACAGGCGAGTACAATAAAGGGGAAGGCGTTGGATGATCGTAATCAGTGGAAGTCTATATGTACTGCGATTGGCATTTCGGTTGAACCTGCAATGCTGAGACGAGTCACACGTCATCCAAATTCAGCGCACTACGGTGAACCCCGACTTCTCCGGGTGACACTAAACTCCCCCAAGGACACAGAGGCAGTCCTACTATCGTCCAACAGGCTTCGTCATTCATCACTCGAGGCGCGCATACTTCTTGATATCCCCTGGAACGAACGTCTGAAAAAGATGAGCAATCGTGAGGAAGTTCGTAAAGCCGAGGCGAAACGGACGATAATTGTGTACGGGGTTCCTGAACTCCAAAACTCAACCTCTGATGCAGCTTTCTGGTTTCCAGGGTGCCTGATAGATGGGAATTTATTAAACTGAAGCAAAGGAGTTAGAACTGTCTCGGCAGCGGTCACTTGGCTGTTTCTTGCACCTCGGATATTAGGTGTAGCCACTCGGGTTGCAGGGGCCGTCATCACCCACTACTAAAGTTGAAGCGCAATAAGGGTCCGATGATATATACGACCAGCCGTTGTACTGCTTCATTTCAAGAAAGGAATTACGGCTGGACATAATATTTGTGTGTCTACAGGATACTCTGAGATCCATTGAAACTTACGCATTAATAAAACATCACTAAAGAATTGAGTATATGCCGCGAGAAGTGCGTCGTTATCAGATAAAGTAGATTATTCTATTATTGAAGGAAATTTTCTGGACTGTATTATGGTAACTAAGGAACGTTGTGTAGTCTGAGCCATCCTATCTTTTCGCCTAAATATAGTTCATTTGCTGAGCATAATGGATTAAACCGCTTCTTGTGAATTATTATACATCAGACCAACCATATTATGGATACTGGAAGCAAGATAACATGTTCTTACACATTACGTGGACTGTAATTTTCGGCATTCAATTTGCTAATTTTATAAAACGCCATAAGTCCATTTGCCATCATTGTCTTGTCAGAAACGATTGTCCTTAACGTTGGTGTTTGCGAAGCTATCCTGCAGCTTTCCAAAAATAATCCACAGACTTTCCGCTTTCGCCCTTATCAGTACTTTCCAAATGGGTTTATCATTTTGCGTGGTCGTATACGTTTCTTTGAGTGTTTTAGCGAATTAATCACGAAGGTAGAATGAGGTTTTGAATTGTTGCGAAGAAAATAAATGACAGGCATTCTACGGAGTACTGCCTAAACATATTGGTTGTCGAGGAGATCATTCCTGTAATGTCATTGTAAATTGGTAATATTTACTATACGTCTACTGCTTTTGTTTTACTAACACAGGTCTGTACATTAAATATCATCATCTGACTACGCGAAACACGAAAGTAATATTAATAATTGGTGACATTAAATTTCTCCTTGCTTGACCATCAGATTAGAAGAAAAGAGGCTTGGCAAGTATATCTGAAGCTTTTGTTGGTGGCTAAAATGCTAAGATGTATAACTGTAGAAACACTATTAGAGTCCATCCAAAGGTGCATTCTAAAGATGGCTTTGAAACTACCGTGGATGGCTTAACTGACGGAAGAATATTTTTCGACAAAAGCCAATGAGGGGAACAACTGCTCAGAAAATGGCAATACTCACTGGATACGCATACATTAAGGAAAGTTGTGGAAAACAATTGTACCAGATAAAATAAAGGACAGAAGAGTTGAACATGGAGGCAAGTGCCGGGTAGTTCATGGAATCGGCATGGGAGTTTCAATAACGAAGCGAATAACATACATCAGCCATTGACAAACATGGTGCCAAATACGTGCTGGCAAGGATTTGCTTAATAGAATTATAAGGAGAAGCATCCTTACGTAAGCATTATGTTATTTATACTCACCAAAGCAACCAGATTTCATCCTGTAAGATAGTAACTCAAGCCAGCAGAGTAGCCACTCGAATTCGGAAACTTGCAGGCTAACGTGGTAGCCGCCAGACGTACAAGCGAGCTGAGACGGTAGTGTTACACCATTCTAAATGTCAGTTAGATGTGTTTTCACAACAATAATTATATAAAACAACTTCCTTATAAGCTTTAGCAATACGGAGTGATGGAACACTATGAGCTGATACTGGAGACGAAAAGCGCGTTACCTAGCGCTACCGCAGTAAGACCAGAACGAGGAAGACTGACTGGCACACAAGTGTCACATAGTGGTAGTGTCTCGAGGACAAATCAGTGTCCGTGTGGCTTTGTGCCGTAACCACCGCAGTGTACTGACGAGAGTTCACTAAGATCACTGCAGCTTTCAAAAAAGATACATCAGTGTTCTGAATAAAGTTCGGTGAACCACTGTGGATAGGCTTCAAATTGCTGAGGACGAACCGGGTGTTAGTTGCGCAGCCTAAGTCGTCGTGTGATGATAGTATGTTTAAGGTGAGCCCCGCGCAATCTGCGCAATTTTGACGGGGCTATGTCGGCTCCACGAAAGAGAGTCGGTATCCCTTAGCGTACACGCCTTCGTAAGCAAGCACATGCGCACGTACTTCATCTCACTGACCTGTAGTCACCAGTAGAGATTGGTGTGGGGAGCTAAACTATTGGAAAATTAATTTTAAATGAATTTTATTAATGCAATTTTGTTAATGCACCCCCTATGGCCGGTCCTTGTCCCCTAATGTCCCACTAAAAGCTTTCTCACTCTAGAGCCCCAGAGGGGTTTTATGGTCTCCGTTGACAATGGCTGGATTAGACTATCCATCCCATTGCTTTAAATCGCGTCTGATTGAATTGCTTAGTTAGTTGTGTAATTTAGTGAACTTTCAGCACCCCAAAAGAAAACTATTAACTTTTCTGTACAACCTCGCTGCTGATCCGCTGTACACTATTATTTCTTGTTTTAATCTTCCTTAGGTTACGTCCACCTTGACCTACGTCCGGCTGGACAATCGACCGCCTTGTAACTTTCTGCGGTAAGTTGCACCTACTGTTTTGCTTCATCCGCCCGCATCTTCTCGTAACCCATCGAATACACTCCGCTGTGTCCGACTCCAATTGCCTTCTGATTTGCGCGCTAAATTTGGGACTAGGATTTACGTATGCGTGCATTAAACTTCCTTTTTCCCCGTTTATATTTTTGGGTAAGTTCTTACATTATGTAGCTACATACGTGTATTCATCTGTTTTCTGGGTAATTTTAATAGCATCAAGGTCTTTTTGTTCATCCTATATCTTTTTGCTTCACATATTGAAAGGGGCATTTGTGCCGTTTCACCTAGTAAACGTGCTTACTTTGTCTGTTCCAACAACCATGGAACACAGCTCAGAGGTTTGGTTTGCGATATTCGAGATCGAGGTGGAGAATAAGAGCATTAAGACGAACCGACCGAGATACAAACAGATTGTCTCACGCCTTATTTGGTCGATTGTGACGTTTGTTGAGTACATCCCAGTCTGGCTATCGACTGAAGCAAAGAATGAAACGATGACACAAGCGATTGTTAAGGAGTTACAACTCGGCGCACGAGCTCGGTTTGAAAAGCTCAAGGGTCTCAAGCTTGGGTATCGCAAGCCATCGGTGTTGCTCCGCAAACTTCAGTGCATCAATGATCCCTTAGACCTTAGCAACGAAGGGATAACGGAGCTGTGGTTTGCACGTTTCCTAGAGCCATTGCAGGTGATGCTGTCCATGTTTCTGGATACGCCCCCTGAAAGAATTAGCTACCAAGGCAGAAGCTGCATTCGAACGTCGTCCGCAACACACGAGCAGTAGCTTCTGTGGCGCATTCTCCCCGAGGAAACCAGGAACGCATATTTACTCCAAGTCGTCAGGCCGATCCGACCATAAAATCGAGAAAATTGCGCTACTTCGCAGCTGCTAGCAACAATGCAACATTCGAAGTAGCGTGTGTCACTGTCAGGTGCTGACTACGTTTTGGCTACTGACTGCGCTTGCACCGAGTACGTCTCGTTCGACGCGAAAGCGCAAGTGTTTACCTGCACGTTCTCAGTCCGGCAATACTAAATCCGTCGAAGAATTGGGTTGATAACACCATTAATATGGTGTCAGGCTCCCTGCATTAAGCACGACTCAACCGCTTCAGGTAAAGCAAATAGCCCGCATACTAGCACGACCAACCTATCCTTCGAGAACCAAACAAACGGTTTGTTTTATGTTAAGGATGGACGTTCATCCATGGCGTTCCTCGTCTATCCGGGGGCGGAACTCGGAGTCATCCCTGCTAACGCGAACGACAAGCAATCAAAGCCTACTAACTACCTGCGTGTGGCCAACGGTTCTACGATTGCTTCATTCTGTCAGCGCACGATGAACCTAGACCTCAATCTTCGCCGGGATTTCAGTGGATCTTCATAGTTTCGTCTGTACCCTTCGCAATTATCGGTATCAACTTCCTCCGACATCTTGTGTTGCTTGTTGCTGCTCATCGCCAGAGACCTTTCCATAACCGTACAAAACTACGTGTTGATGGCGTCCTTTCCGAGGCGCCGATCTTCAGGCCTGCTTTTCGGATTGCAGACGCACTGTCTGATTACTTGAGAACATCCTGTCCGAATACCCGCGACTAATCCGACCGGCTGCAACGCTTCTACCATTCACGACAGAGGTCGCTTATCACTATGTCAAGCGCGGTCAACCAGTTAGCGCACGACCAACACGGCTTGCTCCGGAAAACCTACTTGCTGCGCGAATTGAATTCGACCACAGGCTTCAGCTCGGTATCGTCAGACCGTCCAGCAGCCCATGGGCGTCAAATCTCCAAATGGTCCCGAAGAATGTCATGGGACTGGCGTCCTCGCGGAGGCTATCGAACCTTGCATACGGTTACCACACCTGATCGCCGTCCGATCCCATACTTCGTAGATTGCAATGCCATTCTGGCAAGGATAAATATCTACAGAAAAATCCACGTGGTCCGCGCATTCAACCAAATTTCGGTAGTCGAAGCTGACGTAGCAAAACCTGCCGTGAAATTATTTGGTTTGTTCGAATTCCTACGCATTCCATTTGGTCTAAGCATTGCCGCGCAAACTTTCGACACTTTATCGACCAAAGTATTCGTGAATTTGCTTCCGATTACGCTTACCTCGACGAAATTTTAATTGTGAGCTATTCACCAGAAGAGCACGGGTGCCATGTACGAACACTTTTGAGCGTTTATCTCAACACGGGGTGACGATCAACGTAGAAAAGTGTTCGTTTGGCGTCGACTCACTTAACTTCTTTGGCCATCGTATCTCCTCTGCAGGCGTCGTGCCACTGCAGAATAAACTGCAAGCCATCATCGACTACACTGAGCCTCATTCTTTCAAACAACACAGGCGTTTTGATAGGCTTTTCAACTTTTACCGACGGTTCATACCGAACTGCGTGTCACTGATGCAACTTCTCATGGAGCTTCTCCAAGGCAAACTCAAGAAATTCGAATATCCTGCCGCAGTACGTGCTGCTTGTATGTCGCTGAAAGAGGCCATCACTAGCATAGCTTCTATAGCGCATCACGAGCTGGAAGTAGCACTGTCCCTCAGTACTGACGCCTCGGACGTGGCAGTCCGCGCTGTTTTGTACAATCAAATAGCTGACATGTGCCAGACCTTGTCGTTTTTCTCCAAACGCCTACAGCCTACCGAATCCCGCTACAGCACGTACGGTAGAGGATTACTAACCATATACCTAGTGATTTGTCACTTTCGACACGTCCTAGAAGGCCGCTCCTTGGTCGTCTTCACCGACCACAAACCCCTGACTTACGTGCTCGGCTCGACTACCGACCGATACTCTCCTAGGGATTCGCGCCACCTTGACTATATCGCTCAGTTTACGAACGATATATTGCATGTCTCAGGTGTGCACAACGCCGTCGCCTATGCACTTTCTCGAATCCATGCTATCTCCGCTGACGCCGACACTGCTATCGACTTGGCAGCCATGGCCACAACGCAACACAACGATCCTTAGCTTGATCTAATATGCAGGTCTCCCTCACTATGCATGCAACCTGTTCCATCAACTTCAACAGACGGAACTATACTTTGCGATTTATCTCTGAGCACGCTGCACCCAGTCGTCACATGCAAGGTTCGGCAAAGTGTGTTAGACACGTTGTAGGGCTTGTCTCATCCAGGCGTTCGTGCATCGGTTAAACTCGTAACCGCACGATTCATTTGGAGCAATGTTAGTTGTGAAGTTCGTATTTAGGCAGACGCTTGTCTTCAGCATCTACGTGCAAAAGTGCATAAGTACACGAAAAGTCCAGTAGGAACATTTTCCACGCCAGATACACCTTTTCACTAGGTACACGTCGAACTCGTAGGTATTCTGCCACTTTCGAAAAGCTCAATATTTCTACTGACCTGTGTCGATCGATTCACTAGGTGGCCGGAAGCCATTCCCATATCTAGATGCTCTTCGGAAACGCTAGTGAAACTTTTCCTTGAGCGTTGGGTAGCTAAATACGGCTGTCTCGCCACCGTGACCACCGATCGAGGGTCACATTTCTAGTCGAATTTTGTCACGTTGCTTAAGGATTTAGGCTGTCGCCACCTTCAGACGACGGTTATTCCCCTTTCGCTAACGGCATAGTGGAGCGTTTTCCCAATCAATTAAAGTCCGTGCTACCTGCGCACACAGATCCTTCAAGGTCTGATACACTTCCTCTCGTCCTCTTAGGCTTAAGAAACACTGTTAAGACAGATTTAGATGCAACACCAGCGCAGTTGGTCTACGGCTTCACACTGTGGTTGCACGGACTGGCCCGTCTACTTCCTTTTTTGACTACTTGTTACATCGATCGATCGGCTCACCAGATGCGTGAGTTACGTTTACCGCTCCTCTACCGAAGAAGACACCAGTGTACGTGCCCGAGCAACTGTCTTCGTGTTCACACATCCTTGTTTGCGCAGGCGGAGTTCGACAGCCTCTTAAAAGTGCCACACCGTGCGAATAAGACGTACAATATTGACCACGGTGGCCGACGCGAAGTCGTCACCATCGACCGTCTGAAGCCTGACTTTATGGAAGAAACCACCTCGCCTACCTCGTCTAGTAGTGCTTCCTGCGTTGTCACAACTAATCGCTCCAGTTTTCAGCAGCCTAGTGTAGTTCAACCAGACAACGATCCCGGTCTACATGCATCAGCCGTCTAGACATCTCCTGAAGTTAGCCCGCCGCCTCCGACGATCAATCACCGTGGGAGGGATGTGCGTAAGCCCATTCATTTTCCCGAGTATGTACAGTCCAAATACGTTCAGGTTTGTAGACTTTGTGTACATCTTCCCTGCTTTGGGTCGAAAAACGTTTTGAACACAAAAAATTAATAACTTCCGGAAAAGCTTTTTCTAAATATATATTCAAAAACCCAAAAATCTAAACACGCAGGTCATTCGTTCGTTCTTTTCGGCGTTTTCTGCACGCGGTTGTCTATTTTCTCGTCTCTACATGCCCCAACCGTCCCCTTCGATCGACTGGCTTACACGAGCAAGATTTTCGAGGATTAACGCAGTCAACGTGGATCCTAATATAAAATCTGGTCGTTTTCCCCGTGGCAGGAGGATAGCTTCTTCGAGGGACGAGGGTCTTTTCTTCGTGGGAGGATGATCGTTTTAGCGCTGGATGGGGTGCGGCAGGGGAGAGACCACACCCAAGCGCACCGTTTGGCAACAGCGGAGGTTGAGATCCTGTCACCCATTTTCCGGGCTAGTCGGAAATTTGGTAGTCCGACAAGCTCGCTCCAACGGCTCGCCGAAATGCACCTTGCCCTGCAATCAATAAATAATACATCACACACCGCACAGCGGACGCCGCATTTCGGCGAACCACCATTTAACCCGAACGCCCACTCACTCGTCCAGATTGTGCCCTACCAATTTTTATTCATCCTTCATTTTCGACTTCGAAGGCTTCTTTTGTTCAGCCTGCTAGGGGAATGCTGTAGCACCCCAAAAGATAACTATT